AGAGAGTCCAGGTAGGTAGCTTTCAGATTGTTCCACCTCATTGCCCCCTGGGTTTGCCTCTGCTGAACTGCAAGTCTGGGGAGGGAGGATTGCAAAAAGTAATATAATCAACAATAACAATAGCATCAAATACAGCTAGAAAAATGACAAACTGTGGTAAGTATTAATTTGTCACCTTTAATCATATGAACTAGATTTGTGGTTAAATAACAAAATCTAAAAATGAACCAGAAAATTGTATGCAATAAGTAAGCCCTCAATATAGCAATTTTACCCTTAGGGGAGAAGATTTAAAAGGGTTTGGGGGAAAATAGAGAAATATAAGGAGAGAAGAGATTCAAACAAAGCTAGAGGACAAAGGAAGATCACACTAACTTTGAGGAACTGGTGAAGAAGATAGGAGGGGAAGAGAGAAGGAAGAAATAAAAACCAGAACAGAACAACAACAGCCAAACTAGAAACCATGTTCACAGTCATATAAAAACAAGAACAGGGCCAGGAATTTAGCTCAGTCATTCTGCCACCTGCCTTGCAAGCGCAAGGTCCTGAGTTCGATCTCTGGCACCCAAACAAACAAAATAAAAACAAGAACAATCAGGAAAAGAGAAAACAAAATAAGAACAAAAACCAGAAAAGAGAGAGAAAAAAAGAAGATAATAATAATTTAAACAGCCCAATTCAAGGCATGTCTTTGCTGTCACTGGCAGACAACATGGGCAGACCAAGTCCAGATCTGAGTTGATTAATCCCAGCAAGCCAGCGGTAGCTTTATGGTAGGGTAGTGAATAATCCCAGCAAGCTTGCACCTTTAGTTCCACTGGTTTCTGGTTATGAGGCTGAAACAAAATTTGTTGAGCCTGCAACAGTCCATGTGCCTCCTATCAGCTTGAACTCAGCTCCCTAACCTCCTGCCAACTTGAACTGGGCACCTTCACTGAGACACCAGGAGATATTATATGGAGCCACCCTGCAGGTGTTCTGGGTTCTGAGCTCAGTTGGCTTCTCTCCAAGATGGCTACCGGCCAATTTCCCTCTCCTGGGTGACATCTGAACCCAAATAACTCACCAGTCACTGCAGTCCACTGTGTCCACTGCTCCTTTCCACTGTTGTGTTTCTCCATGGAGCACTGTGAGTCACCGAGTGTCTGCAAGTTCTAGCTGCCTCTTCCATGTAGTGAGTCCAGACTCAGGGAGAAAGTACCACCTGCCAACTCCCTCTTTTTCATTGAACTCTCTCTCAGCTCTCCCAGTGGGCTTCAGTTCTCACTTCAGATCCACCTGGGTCCCGGGAACCCACTTCCCTCCTTCTTCCCTCCTTCAAGCTGCTATGTTCCAGTGTCAGGACACCAAATCTCAGAGAAGCTCTTTCTCTGCTGCTCACCACTCTGCCATCCCACAATTTACTCTTTTGTTGAGGAAAAAAGTCTTGTACAACATAAACAATGAATAAACAGTTTATTAAAGTTTATAAGTTGACCCTAATTAAGTGCCAGTGTATATCATATAAAGAATAAATGTAACCAGGCATGGTGGTACACACCTGTAATCCTAGCACTGTGGTAGGCTGGACAGGAAGATGGGAAGTTTGAGCCCAGGCTGGTCAGTTTAGCAATTTAGCAAGACCCTGTCCTAAAATAAGAAATAAAAAGAGCTGGCCATGTAGCTCAGTCTAAAAGCCCTGGGTTTAATCCCCAGTAACCCTCCCCTAAAAAAGAATAAATGTAGCTGGACAAGGTGGTACTTGCCTATAATCCCAGCTGTGGACTGTAGCCAGCCAGGCATGTGGCACTTATCTCTAATGCCTCAGGAGGCTGAGGCAGGAGGATTGCAAGTTCAGGGCCAGCTCAGTAGTTTCAACCCCATTACTGCTAAAAAAAATTTGAAGAAGAAACATTGTGGGATGTCAGAAGGGAGTAATCATTATGAGATGGAAATAGTAAGGAAATTTTAAAGAACATATTATTAATTTTTTACTTGAAAAGTGCCCAGCTAGCTCAGTCAGTAGAGCATGAGATTCTTAATTTTTTACTTGGAATTTTTTTGGGGGGGTACTGGGGATCGAACTCAGGACCTTGTGCTTGCGAGGCAGGTGCAGCACCACTGAGCTAAATCCCTAGCTATTAATTTTGTTTTCTTTTGTTTTGTTTGGTACTGGGGATTGAACTTGGGACCTTGGGCTTGCAAGGCAGGCACCAGAACCACTGAGCTAAATCCCGGGCCCCCTAGCTATTAACTTTTAAAATTAAATTTGTTAACTGATACATAACATAAAAATTATACATATAAATTAGGTGTAGCAAACAAAAAAAACACTGAAAAATGTAACAAACTAGGTGTGGGAGTTCATGGCCAACTTGCGCTACATTCTTTTTTTTTTTTTTTTGCACTACATTCTGAGACCCTGTCTCAAAAGAAAAAAAAAACTGTACAAAAAAAAAAGTGGCTGGGTGTGGTGGTGCACTCCTGTAATTCTGGCACTTGGGAGGTTGAGGCAGGAAGATTGCCATGAGTTAGAGGTCAATTTGGGCTACATGGTGAGTTTAAAGTCAGCCTGAATTACGAGTGAGACCTTGTCTCGAAAAAAGAAAAAATTGCAAAAAAAAAAAAAGAAAAAGAAAAAATTGCACCTATCAATGGGTTATGTTTTGGATCATATATACATTGTATGTTTAAGTCTGGTTAAATAGATGTTCAAATATTTATCACTTTTAATGAATAGTTTCAGAATACTTCTAGCTTTTTGAATTATCTAGTACATTATTATTACCTACAATCACCTTACTATACAACAGCAGCAGTCTTGAACTTCTTGCTCCTATTAACTGTACTTTGACACTCGATGCTGGTCTTTACCTCTCCCCAGAGTATGGATTTCTTGTGTTCTGAATTGGTGGACTCAATGTATCATTGAGCAACCACTGGTAGTAAGTAATAGAAACTCCATTCATTTAAGTAAATTTATTGGTGCTTAGAATTTGAGGACAGGCTAAATAATCATTCTATGGGAGGGAGCAAAAACACAGCCAAATCTCAGGAACAATTAAGACTGGCTCCATCCATGTTAACTGGAATTTATTTTATCCTTTGAAACCAATTTCCTTCACAATATTAATAGACAATTTAGCAGGACCCACTAGGATTAAAAGGGTCTTTCCACCTCTAGTTCAGAAAATCTTTCAGAATAACCTGCGTGGTCCAGTGCAGATCAGGCATCTACCCTTGGCCCAATTAGCTCAAGTGCAGAAGGCCAGGTACTCAGGAGACCAGAGGGTTGGAATGGGAAAGGAGGAGTGGGTGCTGAGTAGTGAAAATCTTACTCCTCCTTATGAGGAGTGTCAAGGATGGTTTAGCACATACCAGCTGGGATGAGAAACTGAAGATAAATATGAGTAGTATAGATGGAGTGGGAGATTATGGCAGGCTTAGAATTTATTCAGCATCACATTTGGAGGTCAAAGGGAATATGGTATTTAGCTTTGGGCTTTGCATTTTAAAATCGAAATAGATAAACTGCTTAAAATTAATTTTATTGGTACATTTGAGATATACATAACATTCATCATAGTGTTTGTACCTGTACATAATATATTTGATTCTTTTTTCCCCAACCCCCTCTCCCTCCAACCCCTTATTTACAAAAGCTTTGTTTCTATTTTTCCTTCTTTCATTTTCTTTTCTCTTCCTTCATTTTCTCCTCCCCTCTCCCTTGTTCCTCTTCCCACTTGAATATTTTCTTTCTATTTCCCAATATCTTTTATACATTTTTGTTATTTACCTTTTTGGTTTTTCACACCAGAGAAACAATGTGATATTTAAACATGTGTGTCTGATTTATTAGACAAACTGTTAATGTGTCCTGAGTAGGACAATCAGTAGCTAGAATGGAAGTTGTAGAAGGGCAATAACTATGAGGGCATCACCAGGTTTGTAGAGAAGGAGTGACTGAAGCCAACAAAGAGAGCTCAGTAGGATTTAGGGTCATTGAGAGGAGGTCTTCAGAGCAGCCAAGTATTTCCAGGCTAGGAGGATGTGGGCCTTTAGGGAAATAGGGAAGATACATGGGGCACACTTGTAATCCCAGCACTTGGGGAGGCTGAGGCAGGAGGATCTCAAGTTTGAACCCAGTCTGGACAACTTGGTGAGACCCTGTCTCAAAATAAAAAATTAAAAAAGGGCTGGAGATGCAGTTCACCATGAAGGCCCTGGGGTCGTCTCTCAGTACCAGAACAAAAGAAAGAAATAGGCTGAGGAGAGGAATTAATATGGAAATATGGTATGTTCAGTTTTACACATCAAATTGGAGATGCTGGGTAACACCCTGGAACTGCTACAAGAGTTGGGAATGTATCTTGGTGTTTAGGAAAAGAGATTATCAAATTGGAGAAAACTCCTATTGGAAACTAGAGAAAAGGGTGTAGCGTAGGCTCTGGAGACACTTGAGATGGTAGAAGAGGCAATTAATGAGGAAGAGAGACAGGAAGGATCCAGCCCTTAAATGTAGAGTCCTGAAACAGAATTTCAAGAAGGCTGGACACTGGCGATGGGGGACACCTGGAAAGGGCAGCAGCTTTCGGGGGTCTCTGCAGAGCCCTGGAGAACAAAGCGGGCTCTGGGTCAGGCGCCCCTGTCGGGCGGGCCGGCGGGGCAGGCTGGGGCCCAGGGACGGCGGTTTCCACTGCGCACTGGGGGCGTCCCAGCAGAGATGTCTTCCCGGGGTTACGGAAAGCTCCCGGGACTGCGCAGTGAGAAGGCCAGAGGACCCCGGCGCAGGAGAGAGACAGAGGTGGAGTCTGCAGTCTGCAGGCGAGAAGCGAAAAGCACCTCGTTATTCTCCCTTCCAGGAGTGGAAGTCTGGCCTTTTGCGGACTGCATGGATCCTCGCTACCCTTCCTGGGACTCCGCCCAGACCCGGAACCATAATGTGGAAATCACTAGTTTGTTGCCGAAAGGGAAAAGCAGATGGCCCTACACCGGAATAGTGGAGGACCGGGTGGGAAAGAGCAGAGGACCCGGCGGAAACTGCCCTTAGCCCAGGGGAAGGTGAGCGGAGGCGGAAGCTGTGGGAACGTCTGCGACCCGGGAGGCGACACAGTCTGGCAGATGAGCTTTGACGGGGCCACTTCTTCTTGAATTGTCTGTCCCCCTCCTCCGGCCCAGGTGGGGAACTAGGGCTAGTTTTGCCACTAGCTGTGTGACCTCGGTTAGTATAATCTTGGAATCTCCGTTTCCGAGTCTTTATCTGTTTATCTACCTTAGTATGAGAGAAGGAACATAGGGACGCTTTGCCACTGAGCTACATTCCAGGCTTTTTTTATTTTTATTTTTTGAGACAAAGTCTCGCTAAATTGTCCAGACTGGGTTAGAACTTGTGATCCTCCTGCCTCATCCTCCCTAGTAGTTCAGTAGTTAAGATTACAGGGGTAAACCACCGCGCCCGGTCGGTTTTCTAAGTGTTTATTTTTTTTGAGAAAGTTTCGCTATGCAGTTCAGGTTGCCCTTGAACTCATTATGTAGCTCAGGCTGGTCTCGTACAGCAATCCTCCTGCCTCAGCCTCCTGAGTGCTGGAATTACAGGGGCATGCCACCACTCCTGGTTGTTGTTTTTTTTTGGTACGGGGGAGGGGGGGTGGAACTCGGGACCTTGTGCTTGCAAGGCAGGCGCCCGAACCACTGAGCTAAATCCCCGGCCCTGTAATTGGAATAATAGTACCCCTGTCAAGGCTACTGTGAAGAGTCTTTGACCGTATACTTAACTGTTTTGGGCACGAAGTAAATCCTGGGTTTACATCGGGGTGGGGGGGTGGCACTGAGCTAAACCCCCAGCCCTGGATTTACAATTTTTTAAATTATTTTTTTGTGGTGCTGGAGATTGAATGCAGCGCCTTCACACTGAGCTATATCACCAACTCTTTTTTTTTGAGAAGAGATCTTGTCGAATCTTAAAATGCCTATAAGCAAGTGCTGGGCTCAATCTTGCAATTCTCCTGCCTAAGCCTCCCAGAGTGCTGAGATTACAGCTGTGTGCCCCTACACCTGGCAGGATTTACAGTCTTTATTATTACTTCTCACTTCTAGCTTCGTGGATGCTATTGTGAAAACTCACTGCTAATCTCAGCCCATCATTGTTGAGTTACTCGGGTTGACTTTGTTTATTGGTAAAAAATTAAACTACCTGGGCCAGGGTTGTAGCTCAGTGGCACTGTGCCTGCCTGGCAAGCGCAAAGTCCTGAGTTCAATCTTTGGTACCCCAAAAAAAGAAATTGCCAGGTTTGGTGGCACTCCAGCCTGTAGGCCCAACTACTCAGGAGGCTGAGGCAGGAAAATCTCTTGAGCCCAGGAATTCAAGACCAGTCTGGGCAATATAGACCCCATTTCATACAAACAAAACGTAATTACGTTTATAGTATTATTAAAGGAGTAACACCAGTACTGAGGGTTTAGAAAACGGTAAGCCATGTTACTCATAATCCCATCCTATACATTAAGCCTTTTTTCCCCTCAATATTTTTTGTTTATGGATTTTTATATTTGTAACATTAGCATACAAGCAAGTTGTGGGGGAATTTTAGTTTGGTTTTTGGCTTTTGGAGACAAGAGACTCTCTGTGTAGCCCAGGCTGGCTTCCAACTTCAGTCTGAATGTGGTTTTGCTGTCTGCAGACGTGAGATGGTCAGAAGGGCTGTGAGACGGTAGACCTGGAGAAGCATCTTTTGGAGGCCCGTGTCTATTTAAGAGCTGGATTTCTAGGGCCAGGGATTTAGCTCAGTGGTTTCGACACCTGCTGTGCAAGTGCGAGGACCAGAGTTCGATCCCCAGGACCAAAAAAAAAAAAAGTCCCTGTAGTTCCAGATGCAGGGTGGAGGAGATTAGAGTCAGGGAGATGAATGAGAAATTTACTCTTTGGGCCAGGGACTCAGCTCAGTGGCGCTGCCCCTGCTTGGTACCCGGGAAAAAAAAAGGGGCCGGGGATTTAGCTCAGTGGTTTCGCCGCCTGCTGCGCAAACACAAGGACCCGAGTTTGATCCCCGGTACCAAAATAGATAAATAAATAAATTTACTCTTTCATGTTCTCCATGGGCCAGCAAGGAGTGTTATTAGAAGTGAAGACTCCAAGGCCCTAGGCCTTATGTACTGATTTGAATTGGATTTTGTTACAATTTCTAAGTGATTCATGGTGCTTTAGAGTTACAGAAGCCCTCCTTTAGGAGAATTACATAGGGCTGCGAAGAAGCAATACAGCTCTGAAGCAGGGCACTTCTGGCAGAGGTGCAGAAATGTGGAGATGTTTGTTCATACAGGAGAAGCCTCCTGCCTACCATCACACACTGGGACCAAGGGCGTCACAGTGGGGAGGAACTCTGCCTTCTGTTCTGGGGGGATATTAACAGATGAACTGGTTAGCAAACCATAGTAGGGAAAATGCAATCCCAGGTCCGGGAATCAGCTGAGCAGCGCTGGTCTTGGTGGAAGTGAGTGCTCAGGGAGGGCTTCTGGAGGAGTCAGATGTCCAAGCCAAGCCTGGCAGAACTGATGGAGGCCATTCCTGGCCTAGGAGTAGCTGTGGGCCACGGCCTATAGCCCAGGGACATTGTGTTGGTGGCACCTGTCAGACGAGCGTCTTCTAACTGGGGGAGAGTGGCTGTGATGAGAGGTGGGGTCTGGAGGAGCCTGAGGCTTCAGCCTGGAGCTCCGGCGGTTTACTTTTGTTTCTTTTTCCTTATTTTATTTTATTTTTTTTTTTGGTACCGGGGATTGAACTCAGGACCTTGCATTTGCAAGGCAGGCAGGTTGCCGCTGAGGTGCATCCCCAGCCCTACTTTTGTTTCTTTTTTGGTGCTGGACATTGAACCCGGGCCACATCTTCTACCTCGGAGTTATACCTTCAGCCACTTGAGAGGTTTGAATGGTTTAAGAGAAATGATCGGTTCTGTGCTTGAGGCCTTTCCACATGCTGGGGAGCAGGGTTTGCAGGGATCTAGGAGAGAAGTGACCCACCCAGTCATGCAGTCAGGAGGGGCCGTTCTCTAAGGATGACAAGTCCTGTGTGGTCTGGGGCCATTTTGATGTGGACTCTTAGGACCTAACAAGTGAGCTGAATTGTTGGATTTTTGTCTTTTATTTTTTGTATTTTTGGATACAGTCTTACTATGTAGTTCAGGCTGGCCTCGAACTGGTGGTGATCTCTCTGACCCAGCCTTCCTAGTAAGGGATTACAGGCATGCACCATCATGCTCGATAAGTTCTATCTTTGAGGAGCTCAAATAGTGACTGATAAAAGAATCTGGTTTCCTGGCCAGGGGTTTAGCTCAGTGGTTTTGCTGCCTGCTTCGAAAGCGTAAGGGCCTGAGTTCGATCCCCGGTACTGAAAAAAAAAAAAAAAAAGAATCTGGTTGCCTGTGTGAGCCTTGGACTAGATTTTTTTTTTTTTGGTACCGGGGATGGAACTCAGGTCCTTACGCTTGCGCAGCAGGCAGCAAAACCACTGAGCTAAATCCCCAGCCCCTTGGACTAGATTTTAAGTCTGAAGTAACTTGGGGATCCCATCAGACTTACTAAATCCAAGAAGCTTGTAAAGCAGTCATTCCATATGGTTTACAGAAGAGCCTCCCATGGTAGATAGGGGCATTACTCCTGAGGAAAGGGGGTCTCAGAAGATGGACTAGAGCCAGCCATGGATGCTCAGGTCTCTGACCCCACCACACTGGGAGGCAGAGACAGGAGGGTCCTAAGTTTGAGCTCAGCCTGGGCATTCAGCTCAGTGATGAGGGTCCTGGATTTAACTCTCAGAACTGAAAAATAAAAATAAATAAATAAAGCCACTGGTTTACCTGAGAGTAAACAGCTTTATTACGTTTAGCCCTATGAAACTGCAGCACTTAGATATTCACAGCCTGTAAACAGGCTGAACAAAGTGTGGAATTCAGGTCTCTGACTCCACATACAGTGCTTACTATAGGACCTTTTTTTTTTTTTTTGCAGTACTGGGGATTGAACTCAGGACCTTGTGCTTGGAAGGCAGACAAGGTGACACTGAGCTAAATCCCTGGCCCCTGGCACCTTTTTTTTTTTCCCCCATTAAGTTTATTGGTACATTTTAGGTATACAATACAGTTACATTCATCATTGGGATCTTGTACCTTTTCATGATGTATCTTGGTTCTTATTTTTTCCCCTTTCCCCTCCCCTCCCTTCACCCCCTCCACCCTTCCCTATTTACAAAGACTTTGTTTTCTATTTTTTTTCCTTTTCTCACATTTTTTCTTCTCCCTTCATTCCTTTTCCCTTCCCACCAGCAACTTTTTAAAAGACAATTTTTTTAGCCAGGCTTGGTGGTGCACGCCTGTGATCCCAGCAGTTGGAAGGCAGAGGCAGGAGGATCACCTCAAGTTTGAGGCCAACCTGGGCTACATAGTTCAAGGCTAACCTGAACTACATTGCAAGACCCTTCTCAAAAAAAAAAAAACCCAACAAGACAAAACACAAAAACAGTCTTTTATTTTGAGAGAGTGTCTAAGTTGCTAAATTGCTCAGGCTGGGCTTAAATTTGCAGTCTTGCCTCAGTCTCCCAGAATGTTGGGATTACAGGCAGGTGCCACCATGCCTGGCTTAGTCTCTCTCTCTTTTTTCTTCCATTTTTTTGCTTTTTTGAGATAGGGTCTCACTATATTGTTCAGGGTGACCTTGAACTGACTGTGGCCACCTAGGCTGGCCTCAAACTCTAGACAACCCTTCTGCCTCACCCTCCTGAGTGCTCAGATTATACCTTGCCCCTCTTTTTTTTCTCCTGATATAGTTTAGGCTGGCTTTGAACTCAGCAGGCTGCCTCTAGCTCATGGTGATCCTCCTACTTCTGCCTCCAGAGTGCTGGGATTATGGGTGTGTGCCACCATGCCTGGATCCCCCTCTTTTTATAAGAATTGCTGACACTAGGGCTAGGGATTTAGATCAGTGGCAACACCCCTGCCTTGCAAGTGCAAGGTCCTGAGTTTGATCCCTGGTACTGAAAGAAAGACAAAGAAAAAAAAAAGAATTTCTGACACTGAAAGTCAGTTGGCCCAGGTCCTAAAGTGAATTACTTGGCTATGTTACTTTTTAGAACATATTTCTTTAAAATTCCAGCATAAAATTTTGCTTTAAAGTTGATATAACATCTAGCCAAGCATGGTGCTACCTGCCTGTATCCCAGCACTTGGGAGGCTGAAGGAGCAAGATTGCTGTGAGTTTGAGGCCAGCCTGGGCTATGTAGTGAGACCTTGTCTCAAAAACAGAACAGAAAAAGTTAATAACATCTTGGGATATCATTTAGCACATACTTGAATTATTTTTGGGTTGATCAGCATTTTGATGAGGCTGGGGCCTTTTTTGTTGTTTTATGTGGGCCTAATTTTAGTTATCTTGGTATTTTTTGCAATGTGTAATACCATGGTCTGCTCATAACAGGCACTGAATCAATGTTATTAGAATTAGAAAGTGTATTTAAAGTGTCCTATTACTGACTCACGTTGAATTTGATTTTTATTTTTTTTTCTTTTAAATTCTTCCATTGGTACATTTTAAGTATACAGTACGTTTACATTTATCATTAGGTGCTTGTGCCTGTACATGATGTATCTTGGTTCTTATATTTTTCCCCATTATCTGTGCACCCTTCACCCCATCCACCCTTCCCTATTTACATAGATTTCGTTTCCATTTTTTTTCTTTTCTCATAATTTTTCCTTTCTCTTCTTTCCTTTCCCCTTCCCCTCCCATCACCCCTACACCTTTGGACCTTTTAATATTTCAAATTATCAGTTACTCATTTTAATCATTTTTTTTTTTTTTGTACCAGAGATCAAATCATTTTAATCATTTTAATCCTTATTTACACTTTCAGTTTCTCACACTAGAGAAACTATTCGGTATTTACATATATGTGTCCTATTTATTTCACTTAAGAGTATGGCCTTGATATGCATCCATTTAGCTATAAATGTCTCTAGCTTCTCGTTCTTTATGGCTGAGTAGTACTCCATTTTATAAAAAAACTACATCTTTATCCAGTTTCCCCCATGTTGAATTTGAAATCATGATGCTTTGGTTGTTGTACTGGTAACTTTTCAATGTCTTTTCCATCACAGGTAGAATTAGGCTATTTGCTGAAGCTTCCTTCTGTGGGAACCAGGGAGAAGTTTACACTTTGCCCTTTTCTCAGCATGGCTTTGGTCTGGAAATTCCTGAGTGGTAGCCTGGTTCTCAAAAAGTGCCTGGAGTCACACAAGACCCTTCTTCCATTTCCGGGGCTTTGCACTGCAAACTATTGTTCTGGGAGTCTTCAGAAGCCGGGTGCCACTTCTGGCAGAGCCTCCCAGCAGGGGAAGCCTAAAGAGGATTTGCAAGGCCACGAGCAGACGCAGACAGAAGTCGCTTTGGATATCCCCTCTTCTGAAGAGAGGCCTGAAATGGATTTTGATAAAGCAATTAGAGACGAAGTAAAGAACCACTTCAGACTCCTGAAGAATGAGTTGGTGAATTACTGGATAGGGCCGGAAGGCCGGCCCCTGCACAATATCCTGCTAGAGCAAACTAGAGTTGTCTGGCAGTTTCGAGGCAGAGAGGACTTAGACAAGTGGATAGTGACCTCCGATAAGATGATTGGAGGCAGAAGTGAAGTGTTTCTGAAAATGGGCAAGAACAACCAAAGCGCACTGCTGTACGGGACTCTGAGCACTGAGGCCCCCAGGGATGGGGAGAGCAGCCAGAGTGGGTACTGTGCCATGAGATCCAGGGTGCTCAGGGTAGGTGAGGCCGGTCTGCAGGGTGCTGGTGTGCTGGGCAGACTTCCTGTCGCCAGTAACAGTGGCATACCCAGCGCGCTCATGTGGGCATCTTACCAGGCACAAGGGGCATGGTTCCTGAGGATTCCTTGTTGCCCCAGTTTTGTGCCAGGGTGGAACACTGCTGTGTGAGGCCTCCTCAGCGGTTGGAGCTCTGGGCACTCTTTGGGGAGACTGGCGTTTCCACTGCCTTTGACCATAGCTGCTCTGGTGGCAGGGCTTCCTTAGAGTGGATGTAGGGTTCATCTGGGGCTTTTTTTCTTTTTTGAGTGGGCTTTTTATTTATTTTAGAATAATTGTTGATTTACAGAAAAATTGCAATTACAAAGGTAGTGCAGGGTTCCCATGCACCTCTCACTAGCTTCTCCTGTGTTAACTGAGATTACTGTACTGCATTTGTCATGACTAAGAAACTAACTTTAGAATATTGCTGCTAGCTAAATTCCAGACTTTATTTAGATTTCCTTAGTTTTTACAGTAATATTCATTTTCTGTTGAATCCCATCCACAGTAGTACATTACAAGTAATTATTATGTATCTTTAGTTCTCTGGTATATGATAATTTCTTCATCTGCCCTTCTTTTTCTTTTATTTATTTTTGAGACATGGTCTCATTATGTAGTTCAGGCTGCCGTCAGACTCACTGTAGTCCATCCAGGTTGGCTTTGAACTTGCAGTAATCCTCCTGCTTCAGCCTCCCGAGTGCTAGGATTACAGGTGTGTGCTACCTGGCCTGGCTTTAATGGGATTTTGAGATGTCTCTCTGTGTTGCCCAGACTGGTCCCAAATGACTGAGCTCAGATGATTCTCCCACCTCAGTCTCAGCCGGGACTAATGGTATCCCAGTTTTCAGGAGGAACTGAGATGTATGGAGTGGTCCTCACTCGGATTTCCCACAGTTTTCTCTTGTTAGACCAGTGTTTTAGGAGGAACACCACATGGAGTTGTAGTGCCCTTCTCATCACATGCTCTCGGGGCACATGACCGCCTGGCCAGGGTAGTGTTTGCCAGGTGCTCTGCTCCTCGTTCTTTTCTCGGGTCACTGAGTATGGTCTCCTTTTGTGGGGGAGTGAGTGAGGGAGGAGGCTCTGTCTCTTGGAGGATGTGGTATCCACAAGTTATTTGGAGTTTTTTGAAGGTTTGCTTTTCCTTCCACTCTCACTATTGATTCAGTCATTTAGTATAGAATCACCCTTTGGTGATAATTGAACACGCTCATGATGGCCATAGTTCATGTTTCACTGCCAAGGGCTTGAACCACCAGTGGTACGCCTGTGGCTTTTTATTAGTTTTATTAGTAAAAAGGCCATGTGATTAGATCCACCTGATGGGACAGTCGGCCCAGACCACATGGTTGAGCCAGGCTATTACTTTGTTGCCTGGTAGTCCCAGCTTTTGCTACTTGCGTGCTCTGCAAGGTTGGCCCTTGGGCTTTTATTTTTTGAGCACTTTTTTTTTTCCGGTGCTGGGAATCAAACCCAGGGTCTTCGCCATTTAGTGGTTTTTGTTTGTTTCAGTTTGAGGGAGTCTTTTAAGTTGCTGAGTTGCCCAGACAGAGCTTGAACTTGCAGTCTTCCTGCCTCAGCCTCCCAGAGTGCTGGGATTACAGACCTGTGCCACCATGCTGGGCTACTTTTGAGCACTTTTTGTTTTGTTTGTTTTTTTGTTTTTGTTTTTTGGTACTGGGGATTGAACTCAGGACTGTGTGCTTGCGAGGCAGGTGAGGTGCCACTGAGCTAAAATCCTGGCACTTTTAGCACTTTTTGACACTACGGGATGCTCTACACTCAACTTGTAGTTTTCCTGTCCCAGCCATAGAATTAGTCATTTCTTGAAAGAGACCTGTTTGAAGAATGGGATTGGACGCCAAACGCTGGGTGCGGCGTATGCTTGTGTCTGTTGGTTTGTCCCTTCTAGCCCCTCCCAGGAGATATAGGTAGGTAGGTAGGAGGATGGCAGCTCTTCACTCAGTAGCAGGCTGCATATATGATGACAGTCCCATGAAACTGTAATGAAGCTGAATCATCCTTATCACCTGGTCACTCTAGCAGTCAGAGCATGGTAGTGCAATATGTCACAGGTTTGTGCTGATGGTGGTGTAGACTCAGTATGCTGCCAGCCAGATGAACGTGTAGCCCAGTTATGTGTAGTACTTAACAGTTTAGACGTGTGAATGACAGTGATACTGGCATACATGTACTTTTATCATTATTTTAGAGTATATTCCTTCTAAGTGAGAAGACTCACTCTAAAACAGTGTGCCATGTTATGCTGGTAGCAGCCTCATACATGTCATGTTTACTGTGCTGCTTGAGTGTGTCAAGGCCATGCTGATACTAGGTGCGATGCACCTGCTGTGATCCCAGCATCTGGTAGGCTGAGGCAGCAGGAGTGCCATTTGTATCCTGTCTGTGCAACATAGCCAGACCCTGTCTCAAGAAAAGAAAAACAAGGGGCCAGGGATGTAGCTCAGTGGCGGTGTGCCGTGCCTGCCTCACTAGTGCAAGGTCCTGAGTTTGATCCCTGGTACCAAGAAAAAAAGAAAAGAAAAAAAACAAAAGAGGATGTGTTGAATTACTGACCTATACCCCATCTAGGTTTGTGTAAGCACACTCGTATGTTTGGTGGTACCCAGATAAAATCACCTAACTGAATTTCTGTAGAAGATGACTGTCAGGTGTGGTAGTGCATGTGTGTAATCCCAGCACTTGGGAGACTGAGGTGGGAAGCTTGCACCATCAAGTCTGGCCTGGACTGTATAGCAAGACCTTGTCTCAAAAAGCACCAACAAAACTCCCCCTAAAACATAAAAACAGCAGCAAAACCCAAAATGTACGTCTCTAGGTGACAGACCACTCACTGTACATGGGTGTGTGCTGACCAGGTGTACATGGCTGTCCTTACTGCTCTGCCTGTCCATGCCCACAACATTATGCCAAGAGTGAGGTCACGCTGTTGTCTGAGTCTCATCCAGTTTTCCCTTTCGCTTACTGTTACTTCCCTCTCTTTAACAGGGAGAAATCGGTCCAGTGCACTATCCATTTACTTTCAACCCTAGAATATAAGCAAAGCAGTTTCAGATTTGTTTTTTGTTTTGTTGCCTAGGCTGGTCTTGAACTGGGCTCAGGTGATCTTCCTGCTTCAGCCTCCTGAGGAGCTGGGATTATAGGTACTGCATATGCCACCTTGTCAGGGTCCGTTTATGAGTTACAGGGTTTTGTTTTTTCCACATTGTTGGGGGTCAAACCTAGGGCCTTGTACAAGGCAAGCAGCCTACCACTGAGCTACACCCCACCCAGTTTCAGAATTTTAAAATTGTAGCTCTGTGAAAATAAACTTATTAACTGTAGTGTTTATGTACAGTTCTTTTGTTTTTAGCCTATGGTTTCCAGAAGAAAACACTGCATTCTCAAGTTGTTTAGATCCACTTCTTTGTCTCCCACCTGCCTCCGACTTTCTCTGATACTTTGGCCACTCGTCTGAGAACTGTCCTAGGCAAGCTCGTGTGCCTGACCCTGGCTTTGATTGTGGGCATTTGGTTTGCTGTTATGCTTTAAGGAGAAAAGCAAGTGTCAGGAGTAGTACTAGGCTCCCTCTTTTCGTATAATAATGAAAAAGAAAGCTATGTGCTCTTCCACATGCAACAAATGATAGGTTTTTTTAGTCTGTGCAATCCAGAGAATAGATTTGGTCAGTGTGGAGAAAAGGATGATTCTGTGGGTCCAGGTATGGTGGATCTGCCTTTAATCTCTGCTACTCAGGGGTCCTTGAACTTGAGGCCAGCGTGAGCCACAGTGCAGAAGCGGGGGCAGGGGGAGGGATGTATGGCTTGATAGCCGCTATGGAGCAAGGAAAATAGGAGATAATATTTATTAATGCACCTCGCCAGACCCTGTGATGAGTGCTTGTTCTACATTATTCCATTTATTCCTCATGACAGTCCTGCAGGGGAGGGAAGATCTGTAACTTTATGGAGGAGGACACTGAGTGGGGGAGATTCAGTGTCCTGCGCAGTGGCACAGCTGGTGAGTAGGAGTTCTCATCTGAGCACTGCCAGTCCTGCAGTCAGGTTCCCTGAGACTGCTAGGAATCAGGGCCTTGGGAAGTGAGCCCAGTTCCACTGCTGAGCAAGAGCCAGTACAGTTAAGCACATGGACTTGGGAGGGGAAACATTACTGCTGTACTGCTTCTTAGAGCTTAGTTTCTATAAAATGGAGTATGGGACAGGGTCTCTCTGTGTAGCCCATGCTGGCCTTAAACTCAACAATCCCCCTGCTTCTGCCTCCTGAGTGCTGGGATTACAGGTGTCTGCCACCAAGCCCAGGTTTGACACTTTTCTCTAGGGCTGTTGGGAAACTTAGATGAGATCACTCACACAAATGCTCAACTTAATATTCAGTGCCTAGGTGGCAAGACCCTATTTCAAAAGTAAACAACAAGAAAAAACCAAACTGAAACCCCTTAAGCTCTGTTTCTTTGGGCAAGGCGGCTATGGGCAGGGAAACAGGCACAGTGGTTTCCACAAAGCAGACAGATGTGTATCCCATGGAAGCATCATCCTGGCCAGTTGTTTCCTGAATGCAACTAGAGAGATAGGAAACTAGGTCAGTGTTTGTGCTGACATAATAATCACCAGGTTTTCCTGCCTCTGTGTGGTGGAAAGTCAGGGCAGAAACATGGGTCCCTGGCTGCTGCTGACTTGGTGGCTTACCTTGTGCCAGCCATGCAGAGGGGGTGTTAATTGGCCTTACCTCTGTGCTCAGGGTGCCTTTGAGAGGAGGCAGAGTTACAATTGGAGCCAGTACAACAGTCTATACCTGCGCATCCGTGGTGACGGCCGGCCGTGGATGGTGAACCTCCAGGAGCAGGTGGAATTCATCCAGAGCAAGGACTGGATGTACAGCTACTTCATGTACACCCGGGGAGGGCCCTACTGGCAGGAGGTCAAGGTAAGTGCATTCCTGAGCGTTCTGGCCACTAACTGCCCACAAGGGGGTGGTGGGGAGTGGGCGGAAGGAAGAGACTCAACAAATGAGTTTTCCTGTCACACCGTTAGCTCACTAACCAGAAAGGACAGGCAGATCCACGGAGTCAGCTAGTACTCTGCTCTGTACCCAGGTAGATGTGTCTGTCTTTTTTTTTCTTTTTCTTTTTTCTTTTTTTTTGGGCAATACTGGGTATTGAACCCAGAGCTTCCCACATGCTAGGCTAGCAGCTCTACCCTTGAGCTACTTCTCAGCCCTTTTAATTTTTTTAATTTGAGATAGGCCCTCACTAAAGTGCCCAGGCTGGCCTTGAGCTTGCGATACTCCTGCCTTGGCCTTCTGAGTAGCTGGGATTACAGACATGTGTCACCAAACCCAGCTAGATGTCACCCTTTCCAGGCAACTCTACTAAGTATGCATAGCTTAGTAGAAAGGTTTTGTTCGGCAGAATACTTTACAATCATGAAAATTTCTCAACTTCTTGACAGTGTAAGCAGTCTAGTTGGTAAATAAGAAGATGAAGCTTTAAGAATTACATTGGTTTTTTTGAGGAAGTCTCACCATGTAGTTCAGGCTGACCTTGAAATTGTGTCACTCAGACTGGCCTACCCATGATCTTCCTGACCTACCTCCTTCAGTGCTGGGATAGTCGTGAACCACTACATCTGGCTCAAGAGTCACTGTCTTAGAACTGGAGATACAGTGCTTGCCAGTATATACAAGGCCCTGGGTTCAATCATCTCTAGTACTGCCGAAGAGAAAATGCCCTTAACTCTATGAACGTATTACACTGGGGAGTCACTCAGCAGTAGGGGACTTGCCTGACATGCCCGAGGCTGTGGGTTTGATGGCCGCACACACAGGTGGTGATGGAGGAGTGAGTATAAAACCTAGGTCACCATTTCTGCCCTCTTGCTCCTGTCACAAACCCAGGGTCAGCTCGGACTCCTCCCTCTCTCCCTCACCTGACACCCAGTCTGCTCGCAAGTTCGTCTTCCCTCTGCTTCCAGAACCGCCCCCCCCCATTTTGGCCTGCAGCCATTTCCACCTCCTCTGCCTTGCTGTGAGCCAGGTGTTTGGGTTACTAAGGGAGCAGGGGTGCAGTGGCAGTGGTGCCTTAGCCAGCCAGAGCTCCTGGTGACCGGTGGCTGGTGGGAGGGCAGGAGTGCTGCCCTGTGCTGCTCTCCCCAGGCTCCTCTGCCCACTCTGTCCATCATGTGCTCCAGAGGGCTCTGGAGCCCCTCTAGCAAGTGCCTCAACCCCCGGAATGAGCTGCTGGGAGCTGGCTTTCTAGCCAGTGGGCCACAGGCAGGGACTGGCCTCATACTTGGGAGGGCAAGGCGGGGCTGAACACAGTGCTGTCAGCTGTGTGGCAGGGCCTGGCCCTGATGCCTTGCTTCCATGCGTCCTCAGCAGCTCGATTTGTGTTTCTCATCATTTTCTCATGTTGAGGCAAATCTGTATTTTTTTCCAGGAACTGCTCATTTCTTTTCTGTTGGGTAGTTGGTCTTTTGTCTTTGTCCATGATAGAACCAACTTGTACACTTTAAAGTAAAAAATAAAAGTCCCTTCTCAAAATCCCATGCCTACTTCCCAGAGGTAAGAACGGTTACGTTTCTGGGTGTGTCCTTCAAGACATTTAAAATATAAGAAGTTTTTTGTTTTCCTTAACTTTTTTTTTTTTGGTACCTGGGATCCAACTCGAGACCTTTCCTCTGCGAGGCAGGCGGTAGAACCACTGAGCTAAATCCCTGGCCGTTCCTAAACATTTTTTCTGAAAATATTCAGACATGTTTAGAAGTTAAACTTGCAGTAACTATCCAGATAGCTACCAGATAGGGTCTCAAGACATGTTCTGTCATATTTAGTTTATCACATCGCTTACCACCCATTCTTCCCACTGTTCATCCACTCAAGCTAACCAGTTGTACCCCTGGAGCTCCCTTTACTCATTTTAAAGCATGTTGACAGTATCAATACATTTCATCCTTAAATATTTAGCATAGAAATCATTGGACTTCAAATTTTTTTTTGTTTTTTGGGGGGTTTTTTTTGGTACCGGGGATCGAACTCCGGTCCTTGCGCTTGCGCAGCAGGCAGCGAAACCACTGAGCTAAATCCCCGGCCCTGGACTTCAATTTTTACTTAGAGTGAGGCTCTATTTTTATTTATTTTTGAGGTGCTAGCCTGAAACCCAGGGCCTCCTGAGTCCTCAGCATGAGCTGTACCACTGAGCCACCCACTCAGCTTTATCTGTATCTTGCCTTCTTACCCATAGTATACCAATAATACATCAGAGAGGCTTTCCACTTGTATCCTATAGAGATCTACTTCATTTTAACTATGGCCAGATGTTCAGTTGTATAGATGCACTATAATTTAGCTGATTTTTTTCCTTTTCCTTTTTATTTTTTTTTAGAAAAAGCTGTATCTTTTTTAGAGCTTGTCATATAAATTGTTTTTGTTTTTGTTTTTTTGAGACAGGGTCTCACTATGTAATTGAGGCTGGCATTGATCTCACTATGTAGCCCAGGCTAGCCTTGAACTTGCAGTGATCCTCCTGCCTCAGTCTTCAAAGTGCTAGGATTACAGGTGTGTGCCATCATGCCCAGCTGTCATATAATTTTTTGCAAGTGAAGTTGGTAGATCAGAGTTACTGCATTTCAAATTTTGCTACATAGCACTGTATTAGTTTTCTGTCGTACATAACAAATTATCACAAATTTAGCATCTTAAAACAACACACATTTGTTTGCGTATAGTCTGGTAGGTTGAAAGTGTGGACATGTGGTTGTGTTCATGGTTGGTTCTTGTTTTGTTTTGTTTCTGAGACAAAGTCTCGCTATTTAGTCCAGGCTGGGCTTCCACTTGATTCCAGGTGTGCACTGCTATGCCTGGCTCATGGTCAGTTGTTTTTTTGTTTGCTTGCTTGCTTGTTTTGTTTTTGCGGTACTGGGGATTGAACCTGGGCCTTAGCACTGAGGTATGTCCTCAGCTCTTTATTTTTCATTTTGAGACAGAGTCTTGCTAAGTTGCTAAATTGCCCAGGATGGGCTTGAATTCACAGGCCTCCTGTCTCAGCCTCCTGGAGTGCTGGATTACAGATGTGTACCAGCAGGCTCAGCTGGTCAATTTTTTTTTTTTTTTTTTGGTGTTTTTGAAACCGGGTGTCCCTATAGAGTTCAGGCTGGCCTTGAACTCACTGTGTAGCCCAGGGTGGCCTCAAACTCACAGTTAGCCTCCTGCCTCAGCCTCCCGAATGCTGGGATTACAACCGTATGCCACCACACCTGGCCTCAGATGGTCAGTTTTTATTTGGCAGAAATGAAGGTGTCTACTGGGCTGTGCTCCTTCCTGGAGTTTCTGGGGAAGACTGTGTCTTAACTTATGGTTCTTAGGGAAGTTCAGTTCCTCTCAATCATAGAGCTGAAGTCCTCCTAGCCTTGCTGTTGGTTGGGTGGGGCCCTGGAGAGTCTCTCACACTCACTAGCCTTCTTTTTTTGTTTTTTTTTTGGTACTGGGGATCGAACTCGGGTCTTTGTGCTTGTGAGGCTGGTGGCGAAACCACTGAGCTAAATCCCCAGCCCCCTCACCAGCCCTCTATGGATTCAGATGCTTGTCACATCTGCACAGGGCAGTTTCCTGACTAAGGTCACCTGACGTGGAGCCTTAACTCCATTGGCAAAATCCCTCACTGCAGCTGAGATCAGTGTTTGATTGGACATTTGGGAGGTGTGTGTATACCAACGGGTGGAAATTGTCAGGGCTACCTTAGAATGTCTCTTGTTACACTTGCCAGCTGCTTCCAGAATAGCAGTACTGAGGCCACCCTCCCACGAAAAAGAGTGCTTTGTTTCTCTCCATCCTCCTTTTTTTCTCTTTGATTAATATTTTTTTTTTAGGTGTTTTGTTTGGTTTTTTGAGACAAGCTGTAGTTCAGGCTGGCCTTGAACTGTGTAGCCCAGCATGGCCTCATTCACAGTGATCCTCCTGCCTCAGTTTCCTGAGTGCTGGCATTATAGGTGTGTACCATCACACCGGGTCCCTTTCTTTTTTCTTTTCAGTTTTTTAAAATTGTTTTTATGTTTCCTTATGTGTTTTCACTCACCTTGTCCCCCCTGTTTTCTGAAGACTGGATATTAGATCAAAAGACTTGCCTAGGTTCAGGCTCAGCATCTCTAGGAAGAATGTTTGTCAGGGAAGGCAGGGTTCTTCCTTACATGGCACCAGGGCCATGTAACACACATAATGTGTGGTTATGTGATTCAGTCTTGGAAGCTAAGCCTGCGGCCTGAACAACTGCCCGTGAGTCCAGAGGCCAGCGCTGAGTGGGCAGCAGCTTCCAGTGCTGCTGGCCTGTGCAGCATGGAGTGGGCTGAAGTCAGGGTTGAGGTCAGTGTGCAGGGAACACAGCTCTTGCTGGCCCCTTAGTTATCTGTAAAAGTTGTATATAGGATTACTACTCTCTTGGCTGTGTTAAGAATTTTATTTTTCCTAGTTTATTTTGTCTTTTCTGTCAGCTATAATTTGTACTCTGTCACTTGTCTTTTGGGACTTCTGGCTTAGAAAGATTTTCAGTTTTCTAGATTGGCTTTGTTTTTTTTTTTTGGTACTGGGGATCAGATTCAGGACCTCAAGCTTGCAAGGCAGACGCGGTGCCACTGAGCTAAATCCCTGGCCTGTTGTTGGTGTTTTGCATTTGCAGACAATACTTAAGTATTGAACCAGGGAGCATTGTGGTACATCCCCGGCCATTTATTTATTTATTTAGAGACGAGGGTTTACTAAATTACCCTGGCTTATCTCCAGTGTGCAGTCCTGCTTCACCTTCCCAGTGTGTACCACTGCACCTAGCTATTTTTTAAAAATTTTTTCCCCTTTTTGAGACAAAATTTTACAATGCAGTCCAAGTTGATCATGAATTTGCAATTCCCTGCCTCAGCACCTTGAGTGCTGGCATTACTGGTGTGCACCACCATGCCCAGCTAGTCTTACAGATGTCTATCTTTGGGCTGGGGCTGTAGCTCTGTCTTAGCATGCTTGTCATGCATGCACAAGGTCCTGGGTTTATGCCCTTGTATCTTTAACAGCTTCTCATATTCTGTGTAATTTTAAAATGAAGTTTAAACTACCTTTTCATCATTGCAATTCCATACAGATGCCTCAGTTGCTTATTTCTCAGTTATAAAATAAATGTTTTCTTTCAGATTCCTTTCTCCAAATTTTTCTTCTCAAATAAAGGAAGAATCCGGGATGGCCAGCACCAGCTTATGGTTGACAAGGTAAGATTTTCCCATACTTCTCAGCCAGGATGATATTGTAGTGAAACAACCCCGAGGACAAGTTTAGCCTGTTTAGGGAAGCTGGTGAATAAAAGATGAAATTCCTATGCAGGGCCCCCCTCCTTTGTACCCTGTGTAGATTCAGACCTGTCCTGTGAACTAACCCTATCCTGGTGGGATGCTGTTGTCATCATCTTCTCAGTATGCCTGCAATTTATTTTTGCTTTCAAACAAGAGTTCAGAAGAGCTCCAGTGCTGGGTGTGGTGCTGCACACCTGCAATCCCAGCACTCAGGAGGCTGAGGCAGAAGGATCACCGCAAGTTCGAGGCCAGCCTGGGCTACATATAAGCTCAAGGCCAACCAGAACTACATAGTGAGACCCTGTCTCAGACAAAAAAAAGAAAGAGCTTAAGACATCTCCATTGGGCATTTGTGTTGTCCTACTCTCAAGTGGACCACTGGAAGGGGGAAAGAACAGCAGTCTTGTACATATTCTAATTTGTATCCACCACATGAGAACTGTTGTGTCCTGCTAAGGGCTCCTAGTGTAAAGACTCAGAAACAGAACTCATGGAATAACAGCAGTACATCAGTGGTAAGATTTTAATCAATTTTTCTATTTTCAATTTAGATTTCTTCTATAGGATTCACCTTGGCTGATAAAGTAGATGGTCCATTCTTCCTGGAAATAGATTTTATTGGTGTGTTCACTGATCCAGCCCACACAGAAGAATTTGCTTATGAAAATTCTCCAGTGCTTAACCCAAGGCTCTTTCACTAAGAGCATACGGCAGTTTTGTTTCCTTTTTTTTTTTTTGGGTACCGGGGATCAAACTCGGGACCTTGTGCTTTTGAGGCAGGCGCTGGAACCACTGAGCTAAATCCCTGGCCCTACGGCAGTTTTGTATTGTTTGAACTAAGGGTAGTAGCAGCCTCAATGATACAGACAAAAAAAAAAGTGTTTTGTTTTGTGGTGCTGGGGATAGAACCCAGGGATTCCTGAATGGTAGGCAAGCACTGTACAACTGAGATGCAGCCCAGCCCAAAATAAACCCTGCTGGTGTTCTATGAGTGATTGGTATGTATGCCTTGAAACAGGATGTTACTGGGGCTGGGAATTTAGCTCAGTGGTTCTGCTGCCTGCCTCGCAAACGTTAAGGACCTGAGTTCGATCTCTGGTACCAAAAAATACCCCAGGATGTTATGACTTGTATCTAGATGTCTCCCCAAAGTCTCATGCAGTCACAGGTGGGCTTTTTGAGGTGGCTGGATCTAGTGTGTGGTGCTAAAGTAGTCCACTGATTAGTTGAGGATAGTTCTGGGTGTGGGTGGCACCACCCAAGGGGCAGATAGCCTGGGAGAGATAAAAAGGAGGCCAGCTGCTGCTGCTGCTGCCATAGCTTGCTGCTTGCTTTTGCCTGCCCTGCTTTGCCATGGAGTGTTTTACCTCCTTGCTCTTCTGTTATTCTACTCTGCCTGGGAGCCAACCATGGTCTGAAACCTCTACAAACTGTGAGCCAAAATAAATCTCTCCTTTAACTTTGTGGTGGGTATTTTGTCTCAGCAATGAAAAAGTAACTAAGACATAGGATAAATGCTGTCAGAAGGCAGATCGGGAATACACATCCTGAAACCAGATTCTATCTCTTGGGTTGCAAGCACTGATGTAGTTACCATGTTTTCATCAGAGTGGTTCCTGTCACAAAGATTCTGCACATGAGAAGGCAGATTCAAAGCAAGGAGTCTCAGAGGCCTGTTGATGCCTTTCCACCGTTCCTTTCTTTTAGGTTCCTTCTATTTCCTGATTGATAAGGATGCTATAGAAGTTACTAAGAAATGAGATATTTGGTGGAGGGCTTGTCTTCCAAAAATCCATGAACCTCACCGGTTCTTTTTTTGCTCAGGCTGAGCTCAAACTCATGATCCTCCTGTCTCAGCCTCAGCTTCCCAGCCAGGCATGGTGGCACATGCCTATAATCCTAGCACTTGGGAGGCTGTGGCAGGAAGATTGCTGTGAGTTAGAGGTCAGCCTGGGTTACATAGTGAGTTCAAGGCCAGCCTAAACTGCAGAGCAAGACCCTGTCTCAACAAAAAACAGGGTCTGTGAATTTAGTTCAGTGGCACCATGCCTGCCTTGCAAGTGTAAGGTCCCGGGTTTGATCTTCGGTACCACCCCCACTCCCCCCCCCCCAAAACCTTTAAAACAGTAATCCTTGTGTGTGTCAAGCTATACCCCCATCTCTCTCCAATTTTGACAGAGCCATCTAGCTTTTCCTTTTAAATAAGCAATAAATAGAATCAGCTGTAGAATTTTATTTTTAAGAATATAGCAAGTAACAAATGGCAGTTACATGAAGAGATATGAACAAAGGTGTTTATGTGCCTAAATAAAACATTTTTCACATAAGCGAAATACTGATGCTATATCCAAACCACTGGCCCAGCTCATTAAGATTAGTAACTTCTGGGCTGGGGATTTAGCTCAATGGTACCATGCCTGTCCTGCAAGTGTAGGGTCCTAAATTCAATCCCTAGTACCAAAAAAAAAAAAAAAAAAAAAAAAAATTAGTAGCTTCTTCAGAGGATGAAGGGGTGGCCTTCCTATCCCACCTTTCCCTATTAACTTTTCATTGCTCAAATTCAGTTGAAGCTTGTGGTACAATCCGCTGCCCTTGGGTAAGTGCTCTTGCCCGGAAGAGGACTACAAGTCTGTTAATATTAGCACTAGCAAGCAGAAGGACATTGACATTACAGATCCAGGTTAAGAATTTGGGATGGGTCTCATCAGAAAATTGAGCTGTACAGAGACTTAGTTTAAAGCCATTCCAAAGAATTTATGAGCTTTAAGATAGCGCCTCTCAGAGCTGCGGCACATGAACTCACAGACACTACATAGATAATTAACAATTTATCTGTAGAAAAATGGGGAGGACAGTATAGAAATATTTACAGAAGGAAAGTGAATTCAGAATGAAGAAATATTTACAGGAGTTTAAAAATCATTTATCTTTAACCATGATGAGGCCCCTGCGAGCTCCTAGAACCTTGGCTTTTTTCTCCTTCCGTTCTTGGTCATGTTTCCTCCGTTGCTCTTCCCTAAGAAAGAGGCTGCAGTTAGTTCCACTGACGGTCCACTCATGACAGGCACTGAGCAGCTACTGCTAGACTGCTGTCCTCACATACAGAATCTGGGCACTTGTGCAGAACAGACTCCTGTGGGCACTGTGCTCTACCTGCAGGGTTCTAGAATCTGGTGCTCACTGATCTAAACTCAGCACTCAAAAATTATCCATGGGACTAGAATCAGAAGCCACCTTGGTGACTGAATTAAAATCCTATGCTTTAAAAATATATTTTAAGTGAGAAATCTCTACTCTTAGATGCAAAGGTCAAGTTCACAATCATACAGTCTGGGGAAAGTGGTGGAACTACTACATACTTAAGTCACTGTTTTTTTTCTGGAGTGGATTAGGCCAATAAGAAAAAGCATGGGACCACATTACCTATCTTAAAGACAAATACTGTTGGTAAAGGCCTTGGTGAAGGGTGGGTCTAGGCCAGGAGCCACATGATAGGCCGCCCTGCATCAGGACCGCTTCCGGCAGGAAGGCCCAGCATGAATTCTGGCTTCAGCTTGTTTTCATGCTGAAAGAATCCTCCAAGGACCATCTTGGGATCCCCCCAGGCAGGACTTCCACACTGAGCAAACCTGGCTTCCTTGGCAGCAAAGAATTTATATATCAACTCGTATGCCAAGGTGCCCGGTGTTGGGCACCGGTATCTGGAGGAACACTCACGTGCAGGACCAGCACTCTGCATCTGCCTCATCCCAGTCCCCCGTAGCACCTCACAAACAGTATCTTGTCACAGCAACACAAGATGGACTAGGACATTCCACTTCTAACCTGAAACCCAGCTGCCCCTGAGATTCTGCCCTTCAGCAGTGATTCGGAACCCTGTCTTTAAAATGGAAAAATTGTAACAACAGATGAGTATGTCTTTACCTGGTCTGGAGAGGAGGTTGCTTGTAAGCTTTCTTATGGAAACTCACTCTGCTCACATGTTCATTCAGAGAATTATTTTCTTTAGATTGCCCCCATGGTTTTAGCTTGCCTAGGTTAGGACAATGAAAAAGACAGGGGTTTTTGTTTTGTTTTTTGTTTTTGGTACCGGAGATCGAACTTGGGACCTTGCGCTTGCAAGGCAGGGGGTGGCACCTCTGAGCTAAATCCCCAATCCAAAAAGACAGTTTTAATCTTTTATTTATATTTTCAACTTTATAATGTTCATCTGTGGCTACCTGCTTCCTACATCTGCCAGTGTATTCTGCCACTGTTTTAATTTCACATTGTAAGAGAAAAATTCTTTAATTGGTTCATATTTCATTAACCACTCTAATAAGCCCTTATTTACAGAATTAGCTGGGTCAGATAATAGATACAGACGCACACAGAGATAAGGTGCTCGGGTTAGACATAATTACTGAGCAGACAAGTTTTTCTGAGTTACAGGTCCTGGTCTTGAGAAGCCAAAAGGCCATAAATAACTACAAAAAGGAACACAAAGGGAAGGGGGGTTGTGTGGCCCTAGGAAAATTGTTTGGGATAGAATGTGAACCCCAGATCCTAGGCCATGGGAGGTGGAGGGGGAGACTCCTGCGAGTTAGGAATAGAAGCGCACTCAGAGCTTCTCAACTCTGGTGTGCCCGTGTGTATGGGCACCAGGGTTAAAGCCTCGCCTTTGCTGCCTCTAGAGTCCAGTTTTTTGGGGTCAAGACAAGTAAATTCATTTCTTACTACATTCCACATATATAAACCAGATTTTCCCTCTAAAAATAAAAATATGTCATTTTAAAATCCTTAGTCATAGGAAAAAAAAGTATCTTTTTTTTTTCCCTGAGACAGGGTCTCGCTACGTAGTTCAGGCTGGTCTTGAACTTGTGGCAAACCTCCT